AGCAGGGGCCGACCGAAGCCATGCACGGTGAAGATCCACTTGTTGAGGCTCGACATGCTGGCTCCCGCTAGCAGCCATACCAGTGCTGCCACTGCCACCCGGGCCCGGCCAGGCTGCCCAAGGGTCCGGGGGGTGTCAGGGGGCCACTCAGGGGACCCAGCCACCCGAGCACCACTAGCCACTGCCACTGCCTCGGCTGAGGTCATCCTGCCGTCATGGTGCTCCAGCGGGCAGCGACACATCCGTACCAGCGGGTCTGGGGCAGGAGGACGGCTCCCCAGTGACCAGCTCTGGGCCACCAGAGTCCCCCTGTGGGCCAGGCAGGCGGATCCCAGTTCCCCAGATCCTGGGCCCCGCCTCAGACAGGTGAGGGCACTGCTTCTGTGGCAGGCCTGTGCCAGCCAAGGTCCAGGAGATACGCCGTGTCCCTGGTTCAGCCAGGGCAGAACCCAGGCCACGCTGCTGGGGTGCTGGGCTCTCCGGGGCTCAAGCCTGGCCTAGGAGGCTGCGGGCACCTCTGCCCAGTCCCAGATGAAGTCCCCACTCTCCTTCCCGCTTTTAAGCCCCTCCAAGATGAGATGGAGTCTTCGTTCCTTTTTCTCTTCGGTCCAGACCCCGCGACCTACTGCTTGCTTCGGCCGGGCCCAGGCCTGGCAGGGCGATCGGGGCACCAGCTCCCGGGGTGTCCGGCGGTGTCCGGTGGTCGCGGCTCGGCCGTGCGCTCAGGCCCGGCGCCAGCTGACACCCCGCCCCGCGCTCGGCCGGTGCCAGGCGGCGAGCTGGGCTCGGCTAGGTTCCGGCGGGGCCTGCGCTCCGGCTGCGGCTCCGGCTCGGGCTCCCGGGCGCTCCGGCTCGCGGCGGCGCGGGCGGCGGCTGCGGCTGCGGCTGCGGCTCCGGCTCCGGCTCGTGCAGCAGCTCCCGCCAGGCTGCAGCCCCCCCGACCCGGCGGGCGAGGCCCCGCGCTCTGAGGCCCCGCCTCCGCCGCCGCCGCCCGCGCCGCACCCGGAAAGTTGAGCGGAGCCCCCAGCGCCGCCCCCGGCCGGGCCCCGCCCCCGGAGCCCGAGGGATGTCTCGCCCCGCCCCGCGCCGCCCGCTCCCAGCCGCTCCTCCACCCGCCCCGCAGGGCCTCCCCCAGCCGACCCCCCGGCGCAGCCCCGCTGCCTGTCCCCGCTGCCCCCAGTGCGGGATCAGCCCCTCTACACCCCGCGCCAAGGCAAGCCCCCCATGGAGACCAACACAGGGCGGGGACAATGAGGTGGCCTTGTGAGGGAACCCAATAAAAGCCCCAGCTACAAGAGACTGCATCTTCAAGGACCCCCACCCAGGGGCCCTCCCTCATCCCAGGACCAATCTTGGGGTCGCCCGATCTCTGGCCACAGCGATTCCCTGGGACCTCAGCATGTGGAGGAGTTGGAGCACCGGGCCCCTTAAGGCCCCTCCATAGCCCTTCCCTATTCCCAGCACTTCCTCCCTCTCCCAGCCCAGGGCCAGCCCCCTCTAGCCAGGCACCGAGAAACTGAATCACCAAGGCCACCCACATTTGTGGAAGTGGGGTACCAGCCAGCATCTATCCCTGGCCAGCAGCCCCTGTCCCGTCCCCTGGGCACTCAGCTGACTCCATAGCTGGTCTTTCTGGGGTCTGCCCTCTGCACTCAGCCCTAGCAGGACAAAGAGCCCTGGGTGGGCTGGGAGCCAGAGCAGCTGCCACTAAGCCCTTGCCCCTGCCTGGGTCTCTGCTTTCCCATCTGAACGACAGATGCTCTCTGAGCTCAGGGTTGGGTAAACCGCGCACGCCAGAGCAGAACAAGCTGATTGGGATTCCAGGATGGACCCTGGAGTCTCTGAGCTCGAGTCCCAGTGCGCAAGAACCAAGGTGGAACGCCTGGCGCAGGCAGGTGCCCACTGCCAGCTGCAAGCCTCTTTCCTGACATCGGGCGTCCTTCCCCGCGGAAGCTGCCCACCAGAACACGGCTCACCCTTAGCCTGCTGTCTGACCAGCAAGTCCTGATGACAGCAGCCAGTCCGGAGGAACAGGACCTCAAAGGTCAACCACTTAGCTCGGTCCGCGGCGCCCCCTCGTGGTCAGACCTCGGGATGACAAGTGTACCCCAAGCCCCCTCATAATCATTGAACAAGATCTGTGTCCTCCCCCGACACCTGCCCCCAGCTTCACGGGAGACCTGCTGAATCCCACGCTCTCTGGTGGGCCCAGGAATCTGCATTTTTGCATTTGCCTCTGGAGATTCCGATGCCTGCTGGAGCCTACAAATAGCTGCTTAATAGCCCAGATTGTAAGGCAAAGGATTTCCAGATCAAGGACTAAAATAAAGGGTTTTTAGACAGGGTTTCTCCAGAAAGGGTTGTGGGAGAGAAACTAAGGCAGCCAAGGAGGCAACTTCCCTCCCTCCATATTTCCTGAAGAGGAGGAGTCAGTGCCACCTAAGGGTTATATTCTTTTTGAGATTTTGTCAATCTTCCAGGAAGTTTCCTTTAATTAAAATAATAATAAATTAAAAACTAGTAAACACCCTGACCTTCTCAGTGCTGAGTTAGCAGGGAGTGGTAGGCAGTGTTTACAACTCCTCCAAGACTGCCACAAAGCAGCTCCTACTTGCCCTGCCTCATAAGGGGTGGGCTATGAATAATGAGCATTAATCAAGATGAGGCCTGAGTGGGCCATGGTGGGATGGAGGGAGCTGCCCACACTGCAGTGGGGGGCAAGGGGGAGACTGAGGGCACAGCTCAAAGCAGGGGTTGTGCAGCCTGAGTGCTGGTGAGGGATTCAGACTATGTCTGGGTTACAGAGCCTCAGTTTTTAACCTGCCTTGACTTGTAAGCAGCAAGACTCTCCACAGGATATTACCTTGTGCAAAAATGGGGGCAGCGGGTTTCTTCACTGTCCTTGGGGTCAATCCAAAAGCCCAGACCTGCCCAGAGCAGCCTTCCTTTGCCCACAGACTCAAATCCCTCAGATCCAATTGCTGCTCTTTGGAGTCCCAACCTGCTATGGGAAGTGGGTGATTCAGGGAGGGACTCCGGGAAGCACCAGGAGCAGGAGAAGAACCCATTTCTGGCAACTGGGCTGCACCTCTCCTCTCATCACTGCATGTGCCTAGATCAATCACTTCACTGCTAGGGCCTCCATTTCGCCATCCGTGATAGGATCTCACAGGCATGAGCATGCTAAGCAAACCCTGGCGCCATCTCATGGAGGGGAAGGGGAAGTGGTCTGTCTGGAGGTCTAAGATCTAAATGCAGGCTAGACATAAACCTGGTCCCCAGTCCCCAGGAAGGGCCTTTGTTTATCAGTCTCTTACTATGGGGCCCTGCACCAGACATGACAGTGCTCTCACCACACCCCTTCTTATGGTTGCAGCACATTATGCCAGTCTGGACACCTGGCCCAGAATCCGCAGGTGGGCTGGGCTGGGCCAGGTGTCCCTGGACCCTGAAAAAGCAAGAGGGGGCTGGGGAATTGAACTGGAAAGTGACAGAGTCACTGCTACAGCCACACTCTGAAGTTGACATCGGAAAGACAAAGAGAATAGTGAGCACAGTGGAGGGAAGGGAACTCGGAGTCCCAACTTCCGTTTCTCTCTCACCCTTGGCTGCCCCTGGGATGGTATAGACTGGGTTTTTTCAGCAAACATCCATTGATTTTGAGTAGGATTCAGTCATTTCCCGCTCCTCAGAGCCAAACACACCCCAACTAAAACAGTCCCTTTGGAGGGCAGATCAATCACAACCAGTTCACGACGTGCCCTTGAGAGCCCAGTGCAGGGGCTTCCCTGAAGTTCTTGTCCACTCTCCCTAGCCTGGCCTGAAACCTGCCACTGCCAGTCTCCTCTATGTGGGAAGGGCCTGTGGCTTCCTCGCCTGGTGTCTCAGGGGCTCCTAAGGAGGCAGCCCGGTGATATGGTGGCAAGTACCTGAGCGCTGGGGTCAATGGGGGAGGATCTGGGATAAACCACCTCCAGGCTGTGCAACCCGAGGGAGGCCTTAGACCTCTCTGAGTCTCCACCCTTCTTTGAGGGGATTGTAAAAGAGCCACAGGGCACAGAGTGGCTTCTGAATCCTCTGAGAAGTGCCTCTGATTGTGATGAAGGAAGGACAAGTGAACAAGCACTCTGGGGTTCTGGACACAGACATTTCACCTTCAAAACAGGCTGCATCTTTACTTGGCTTTCTGATACTCGGATGTTTGTTTCAATATAAGAATTTTTAAATCGCCTACTTCCCATCCTTGCCCAGACCCCAAATATTTGAAACTGGAACTCTAGGAAGTGGCATATATGTACTATGTGAGTTTGATGACTTTGCAGCGCTATAGAACTTGACAGAATGCCCCTCTGAGGGCAGGGCCCCCTTCCTAACCTTGGTGAGGAAGGGCATGTGGGGTGCCTGCCTGGCCTGAACCCCACTTCCCAGAGGTCAGCCCAGAGTTCAGGCCCCTCCCCCTACCAGGCAAGATCCATGGCCCCTGGCCGCCGAGGCCTGGGGTGGTACCTTGACTGTGTGTTGGGAGAGAAAAAAAAGCTCTAGTGTCCCAGGCTTCCAGATATATTTGGGCTCTGCTGTGTAATCATAACAACCACGGAAGCCCCCACCTTTCAATGTTTGAGTGGAGGAGCCAGGAGGCCACCCCAGGCCAGGTCTGTCTCCTAAGCCATGTCCCCTGCTTGACATTGTGGGTGAATCACATATCCTTTGTGAGTACCAATTTCCTCATCTGCAAAGTAGAGATGAAAATAAGAATATCCACAACCTCAGAGTTGTGTGAGAAAGTGTCTAGCACGTACATATTCCCTAAGCAGTAATCAGTGTTGCCACCGCCAGCGTCACGTCCTCCCAGCACCCGGGAGAATGCTCACCCACCTCTACCTCCTCTGCTCCCCTCTGAAGAGTCTCCTCCTCCTCTGTTCCAGCGCCCCCACCCCACCCCCGCCTCCCCATACTCAGTATTCAGTCATGAGCTTGAGGCATCAGGACACTGGGGCACGTGCAGAATCAACACTTTAATCATTTCAGAGGCAGGCTTTGAGCAGCTCTGCAGAGCCCTCCCCAGGCACTATGCCACGACCAGGACTGGGGCCACTTCCCTGAAGGCCAGGGACAGAGCTGGGGTCAGGGCCACAGCCCCTGGGCCACAGAGGTCTCCTCGCAGGACCCCAATCCCATATGGGGCGGTACTCACAACACTAGTAGCCGGTGACTTCTCCTTGTGTCGAGGAGTCTGCTTTAGACCCTTCAGACTATGAGTGGCCTTCAGGGGATGCCTGTGTGGCCAGGCTGAGCCAGACTTGAGACGGCACCCTTCCCAGGGAAGGTGCTTGGTTCCCTGACCCAGGGTGGATGATGGCTGAGGACATCTGTGAGGGTGACAGCTGGGTAATCCAGGGGTCACTGCTCCAAGTACACATGAGGTAGCAGCAGGGTTGGGTGTGTGCCTGTTACAGCAATGTCTGGAGGGAAGGCAGAAGCCCAGGGAGTAGGCCAGGCTGTGGGCAGGTGAGCCCAGGGGCTACCAGCTAACCAGCCTCAACTCGATGGTTTCTCCATTCTTGGGGGTGTACTCAGCAATACCTGCAGAAACGGGGTGAGCAGTGGAGTTATCAGGGCAGAGAATCTCACTCTCCCCACCTCTTCTTATGGACAAGGTCTCTGGGATCCTCTCAGGGCTTGGTGGTAGGGAAGAGGGAGCTGTCCAGAGCCATTCTGGAAACTGAAAACAGCAGTGACCTCAGGGTTCCTAAGGCCCCCAGGCTCATTTTACAGTGGGGGAGTCCCCCAAGGAGGGGGCATGGGACAGCATGTTGGCGAACCAACATGGGATGAAAGGAAAGAGACCCTTGGCAACACCTGACAGGCAGACTCACTATCTTCAGGGTCCCCTAAGGGGCTGGTGGGGAGAGGGACTTGCTCAGTGTGGTCTGGAGGGACAGCCAATTCCACGAGTGAAATCTCCTGGAGCCAGCCTCTGCTCACCAGAGACAATCAAGGCCCAGCCTGGCACCTAGGGTTAAGCCCCAGTTCTGCACTCATCAGCATTGTGACTTTGGGCAAATTATCTTCCCTCTGTGAGTGCTAGCATTCCCATTTCTGAAATGAGGACAATAATGGTATCACAACCACGTGCTCCTTCTTCCCCATGGGAGTGGGCTTCCTGCTGGACTGGGGAACAGAGGGGGTGGGAGGTAGAGGACATGATGATCCACGTCTGCCTCATGATTGAGTCCATCAGGCTCTTGCACCAGTCTACAATCTCTAGCCCTGACTTTCAGTAGTAGAGGTCAGACCTGGGGTCTCCATCTGCCACCTCTTTGTTTTACTTGTCAGTCTGTTCAGAAGCAGGCAGGGAAAGAGAATGCTTTTCCACATACTGGAAAGTACCTGGCCTGATGCCTGGCATGGGATAGGTGCTCCCACAGAAGCTCCAGGTAGCAAGAGCAGGGACAGATGACCCAGAAGAGTCTGTCTGGTAACTGGCCTGATGCACAAGGATGCTCATGACAGCTTAATGTTGTAAGAGTTAAAACTAGAGTTAAGGACACCTGGGTGGCTCACAATTGAGTATCTGCCTTTGGCTCAGGGTGTGATCCTGGATTCCCAGGATCGAGTCTCACATCCGGCTCCTTATATGGAGCCTACTTCTCCTCCCTCTGCCTGTGTCCCTGCCTCTCTTTCTGTGTCTCTCATGAATAAATAAATAGATAAAATCTTAAAAAAAAAAAAAAACTGGAGTTAAAACCCTAAATATCTAGCAGGAATTGAGAAGCCGCAGCCTCCCCATCTCACTCCATACCGCACTGCAGCACCCTGTGCCAAGGCAGGCCCTGACTGGCCCACGCCAGTTGTGTGGCAATCCTTGCTCTCTAGCCAATGATGAGTACAGAACCTGGGCCATCTCTTAACAATGGGGATGGGTCCAGGAATGTGCCTGTGTCCCAATTCCACCTCTGTCTGCTCGGGGCAAAGTTTTCAAAGGGAACAGCCCTGGGAAGACACAAGAAGACACAAAAAGAGGAAGCCAGCAGTAAAAGGAGTATGGAGTCATAGGGGAGCAGGGCTGGAGTCCAGGTTACACCAGCCCAGAAGTCCTCATTCCCTCTGGACTCTGGTCAACGGATGTCATAGAGTGGAAGCTAGTTTGCACTATGCTTCCTGTTACTTGCAGCCCAAGACACCCTCGTGAGTGATATATTCTACATACTTATTTCAAAGGAAGGGGGAAATCTACATATAACAACATGGAAAGATGTCTATAATACGTTAAGAAGTGAAAAAAATAAGTTGCGGAACACCTGGCTGTCTCAGTCAGTAGAGCATGTGACTCTTCATCTCATGGTCATGAGTTCGAGTCCCACATTGGGCAGAGAGCTTACTTGAAAAAGTGAATAAATAAAATAAAGTGTCTTTTAAAAAGAATTTTTTTTCAAAAGTTGCAAAACAGTATGTAGAGCTGTGCCATCCAGCATGCTCACGCTAGCTACATACAGCTATTGAGCATTTGAAATCTTAGAACAAAAAAAGCACATAAAAATGTCATTAATAATTTTGCATTGATTATAACTTGGAAGAGTAATATTTTATATATTTGGTTAAATAAGATATACTGTTAATATTAGTGTCACCATCTAGAAAATTTAGAATTACATACGTGCCTCACATTTTATCTCTGTCAGACAGCATTGCTAGAGATGAAAGCTCCATTTTTAAGAAAAAACAAACTTACATATTTAAAAAATTAGCTGGAAGAAAATACACCAACAGTTAAAAGAAGCGATTTCTAGGTAGCAAATGGTAGGTGATTTTTTTTTCTTTTAAAGATTTTATTCATTTATTCATGAGAGACACAGAGAGAGAGAGACAGAGACACAGGCAGAGGGAGAAACAGGCAGAGGGAGAAATAGGCTCCATGCAGGGAGCCCAAAGTGGGACTCGATCCCGGGTCTCCAGGATCGGGCCCTGGGCCGAAGGAAGCGCTAAACCACTGAGCCACTGGGGCTGCCTCATTTTTTCTTCTTTTTATTTTTAGCCTATCTGATTTCCTAGAGTTGCCACAATAACTTACCTAAGAATTCTTAAGGGTTCAGTTAACTTATAAGCAACCTTGAGCATCAGTGATTATCGAGGCTGGGGCCCAGAAATGTTCAGGGGAAAGCCGAGGTGAGCTGGGGAAGCCTCACAGCAACCAGGCTGGTCAGGGGAGATGTCCAGAGGTGGCTGGCCACCAGACTTACCTTCTAGGAGCGGAGTGTCAGGGGCTCGGAGGAGCTGCCAGAACTCACGTTCCCCAACTTCTTTCCCCATCACGGAAGTCAGGTAGGGGCCCGACAAGGTGTTCTGCGTTCCATACCTACCAAAGGGAGAGGCAGAGGAAGAAGGGGTGACTTTTGCTTCCACTGACCTGAGGGCAGAAACAGAACTACCCCCACCAGGAAAGCCCTGGCCTGTCCCCTCAGGGCCAGAGCTCGCCAAATCCTTTCCAGGCCATGGGCCTCACCTCCACCCTTCCTCTAATCCCCCGACACTACCCATTCAGGAGACTTTACCCCTCCTCACTGACCAGGACCATGCCTTAGGAAGGGACGCTTATTACATTACTGGCTCAGCAGCTGCCCCCTCTCTGGGGGCTGACATTGCAGGGTGAGGAGCAGAAGCTGCCAGAACCACATTAAGATGCCAATGTCCAATGAGAGAGGGTGAAACCAGCATGCAGAGAAGCAGGGATGTGTAAGATGGAGATATGGTGGTGGCACTGGGTCTCTGGTTCTGGAAGAATCTGGGCTCAGTGGCATTTCCCTTCTCTTATGGCTGGGTGGCTTAGTCTTCTCTCTGATTCTACATACCCCATGCTCCCCATTACCAAAGAGGGTTAGAGTTAGGTTTCTGGCCACTGTGGCCAAGAGACTCCTTATTCATAACACCCCCTCCCTGAGCTCCTTGTCTCCAACTGTGCATTTCTCCAAATCACATGAACACTGCTGCCAAAAAGGTCCTCTTAAAAGTCCATGAGTCATGTTCTTCCTCCCTCCAAAAGGCTTATCAATGGTTCTGTCTTAGGGAGGGAAAGTTTCTATCGTTTTAAGAGACAGAAAACCACTCAGGGTCAGTTCGTCAAAGGGAAAGTGTTCGGGGGGGGGGGGTTGTCATAGAGTAGCCCCTGTTGTCCTGTCATTCTCTAACACTGTGGGTCCATGTGGCTGCTTAGAGTACGTCTGTTTCTATTTCTCTCTCTCTCTCTTTCTCTCCCTTCTCTTTTTCTCTGGATCTCTCTGCAGTCTACCTTTCTCTGCCATTCATTTATAGGCCCCTAAACACAACCTTCCTGTCTGGCCTCTGCACCCAGTTCAGGCACCCACCCCCCCTGACAAAATTGTTTCCCTGATGTCTTCTCAGAGATCCTGGATTTCTGAATTAGAATGTTAAGTTCTATTTTTCTTCATTTTGAGGACATTATTCAGACATGAATGCCAGCAGGTTCTGCATACTCTCAATGCCTGCTAGACTGGGCCTGCCAAGTTGCTCAGTGTGTGTGGCCATCTGGGACTGTGTTGTATGTACTGCAGACTACTGGGAAGAGAATTGAGGTGGGCTCAGTAGTGAATGGAGTGTTCGGGGCCAGGGAAGGGCCTATGAAGCCACAGTTGCCTGGACAAACTCAGGCTTGACAGTAGCTCAGGCCTCAGCAGCTGAGAGCATCGGGCTCACCCCATCCCATGCCTGGCCATGTACACCTGGCTCCTCAGCAAATAGTCCTTATTTGAATGTTACTCTTTTTACACTTTATATCTAATTTGCAAAGTTGTTTAGGATTTACAGATGTTTGGAGCCAGAAAGAAAAGGGACTTTTAATGGTAACCATAATAACATACATCTAAGTCATAGTATAACAGAAATAACCTAGGTCTGGGAGAATTTTTGTTCTTTAAAGGGGTTTTTGTGTATCTCTGGCCCAAAATTCCCTGGCCCAGACTATTTCAAGACACCAGCTATGGACCCTCTTTGTCCTTTGGGAACTCCAGGTGGGGAACAGAAACTGAGGCCCTCTCAAACTGAGGCCCAGCTTTCTAGAAGAGAAGTCTGGAGTCTGGGTGATCCCGTGGAAGCACTCAACACCTCTGGTTCAGATTCCCCATTGGTAACACAAGAATTCCACCCATGTTATTTAAGCATGGACATGGCTGGGCATAGAGCAATGCTCTAGAAATCCTCGGCCCCAGACTTGTCGAATCTTGTCAGAGTGAGAAGTAAGTTTAAGGATGTTGTCCAACCTCTACATTCTACAGAGGACTTGCCCAAGGTAATTCGTCACAGGAATGAGGCCAAGATTGCCTGATAATAAAAATTCTTATTCTTTTGAAAGCTAGCCTGTATTGAGCTAGCTAAGTGCAGGTGCCACGTCCCACATATGCCATGTCCTCTTTGTGTGCTAATTCCTAGACTCCTTGCATGGGCCCTGTGAGGAGCAGGGCACAGCTGGTGTTCTCACTGGGCTGCAGGTAAATAACTAGCTCTGGGTACCTGGCTGGGGAGTGGTGGAGCTGGGATTCCAATGTGGATGCTCTGCCCCCAGAGCATGTTCTCAGAGCCACCGACAATGCTGGCCCACAGCAGCCCGTTTCCACTACAGTGTGGGCCATTCAGGAATAGAGAAGGTGGGGGCGCCTGTGTGGCTCAATGGTTGAGCATCTGCCTTTGGCTCAGGCTGTGATTCCGGGGTCCTGGGATCGAGTCCCATATCAGGCTCCCTGTAGGGAGCCTGCTTCTCCCTCTGCCTATGTCTCTGCCTCTCTCTGTGTCTCTCATGAATAAATAAATAAAATCTTAAAAAAAAAAAAAAAGGAGTGAAGACGGTAGAAGCAGAGCCTGGGCCAGCACCTCTACTGGGGAACCTCTTCTTCCATCCCCATCCCATCCATGTTCTGTTTCAGGGATGTGGGGTCCAGTGGGGTGAGGACTAAGAGGTAGGGGTCTTACGTGAATCCTCCGAGCTTCTGGGCCTTCTTAAAGACATCTTCCAAGGAGGACCCAGCAGGGACAGAGATGGAGTATCTGTATGGTGGCATGACACTGGGGACCTTCAGCATGACGCTGATGACCTCTCGGGTCTGTGAAGGATACTCCATGGCTAGTTGCAATAGGACTATGCCAGAGAGAGAGGAAGGGGTAGCTGGTGTGAGGGCAGGGAGCCAGGTGCTAGTCATCCTTTCTTCCCTCAAGGACACTGTGGTCCATCCCAGCCAGCACCACCCCCAGCCACCAGCCCAGCCTCCCCTGTCCCTTTGCCCTCATGTGCCAAGGTTGCCCAAGCTTGGGCCCCTCCCTGGTTTTTCTGACTCCAGTATCCCCCTTACCACCTATCTGCCACAGAGCAGCCCAAGGTATCTTTCTTGAACATGCATCTGTTCATATCACCCCACACACACCATTACCACAGAGGGTCTCCCCTTCTTTTCATTCTCCTGCCTGCAACTCCATCTCATTCTCCCATATCCCAGTTTCTAGGAAGACCTTTTCCCCAAATGTCAGTCTTCTATACCTTGGCACCTTTGTTCCTACCGCCCCCTCTCTGTTCTGCCCTTGCTATTGCTCTTATCCTCCAGCAAATCCTACTCACTAACTCAAGTCCTTCTCCCAGATGAAGCCCTGATTCAAGCTGCTAATTGGAACTCATTATGATGTATCAGGACTATCCAAAATGTGTCTCTCCCCATTTACTCATTCAAACATTTCTGCATGGGGTATTACATGAGGGGCTGCAGATTCATGGCCCACCCAGAGCTCTCTATTTGGTATCTCTTTCCCCACACTATGACTTTCTGGAAGCTATGTCTACATCTTAGCTGCAGGTGTGTCCCACGTGCACCCACAAACACCTGTGGACTCAGCAAATCAAGACTAAGCCATCTCCCTTCCCTGGGACATTCAGACTTCAGGGAGCACTCTGCAGATGAAAAGAACAGGGCGCCTGTGAAAGGCCCAGCTACCTCTTGGTGCCTCACAGTCTGGGGAGATGAGATCTACATAGCTCTTGCCGTTCAGGACAGGCAGCAGCTGGGAAATTAAAAGAGCATTCCGGAAGGCCCCATTCTTCATACTGGCCAACAGAGCAGTCCTTGCCTTGAGGCATGCTCTACCCAGCTTCTCTCCAGGCATGAAGGAATTCATCAGTAACTGGTGACAAATGGGGAAGACAAGGAGGTGGGTCAGCTGGCATGGAGGAGCCAGGTCTTCTGGTCCCTAGTCAGGCCACCGTCCTCCAAACACAAGGATGGACTATGGCCCCAAGGTATCTTTCCTACCTGTAATGCCAAAGGGGTGCTGTAGACATTCCCAAAGTAGCCCTCAGCGGTCTGGGCCTTCAGGATCTTCTCTTGTACTGTCCTAATGGCCAGGGTGATCCGGTGTCTCTGATTGGGGTTGAAGTTGGAGTGATCCAGACAGGTGAAGGCCAAGCCTGCCATGGCCACTGTGTCTGCAAGGGACAGAGCCATTTGAGGTCAGTCTAGGCAGGGCCCTGGGGCAATGGGCTGCCCCCAGAGGGCTTAAGGAAGGGGCATAGTCAGATTAGCATTTTAGAAAGTTCTCACCAGCTAAGGGGACCAACTCAGCCCAGTTTGCCCAGAACTTTCCCAGTTTGGCCATTGCAAGTCCAGTGTCCTGGGAAGCCCCTTAGTTCTAGGCAAACAAGAATGGTTGGTCACCCTACCCTGTCTACTGTTTAGGGGTTAGAGGTTAGGGAGAGAGCCCGGAAGAGAGAGGCCCAAGAGGACTTTACCCTACACCACTTGTTCCCAAACCGGCCTGCATTTTGGAACAGACCAATAGCTGGGACCACCCCCATGTGATCTGATTTAATAGGTCCAGGTTGCTGCCTGGGCCCTGAGGGATTTGAAGCCCCCCAATCCCTGTCCCCATCCTGAAGTGATTTACTGGGTCCAGAGTGTTTTTTCTATAAGCCTCAGGCAGAGCAAGCTCCCTGTCACCTTCTCTCTGGGGCACCTTCACACCCTCCCAACCTACTCCACCCTACCCTCACCCATGTGAGGCACACACAGAATGCCAGAAATAAAAGAGAGCCTGAATCACAATGATAAGAAAGGCACTGGAGGGGCACCTGGGTGGCTCAGTGGTTGAGCATCTGCCTTTGGCTCAGGTCATCATCCTGGAGTCTCGGGATCGAGTCCCACATCAGGCTCCCCGCAGACAGCCTATTTCTTCCCCTGCCTATGTCTCTGCCTCTCTCTGTGTGTCTCTCATGAATATATAAATAAAATCTCTTTTTTTATCTTAAAAAAAAAAGAAAGAAAGAAAGGGTACTAGAGAACCAAGGCAACACAGTGAGGTAGCAGTTCCAGAATCCAGGTCTCAGGCTTCTCAGTTCATATGATGACAAGATCATAGCTAAATATCTAGAACTTTCTCCATGCCAGGCACTATGCTAAGCCCTCTACTCAGAAGGCATTTTTCTATCAGGATACTGTTGGGAGGTTATTTTATAGGAGAAGCTGAATCAGAATGGCCATCTGAGGGGTGGCCTACAATAAGTGTGTGACAGAGCTGGGGTCAGGGTCCCAGTCTAGCTACAAAACTGACTCACAACCTCTGTACCACACACACATGAGCCCTCATCATTTCACTCCTAAGAGACACATAAGGAGGGGTCCCAGGGAAAGGTGAGCAAGGGGCAGGGGATGGAGGCCTTCATTTGGGGCTGGGGGCTGGAGGAGTGCCAATCTGGCTTTAGTAGGGTCTAGCCCACTCACCCACAGAGAGGTGGTCCCGGTGGATATGCTGGTCATGTTCCACAGCATACAGGAGCTTGCCCACCACGGTGTCATGGAGCCGCTTCTGGTGGACACACAGGGCCAGGATGCCCAGGCCATACTGGTAGTAGCTAGTGTGGGGGTGGCCCTTGTGATTGGGTCCTAAGAGGGAGAAAACCAGGGGGCAGGGGCTTTATGCCGGGCCTGAGGGGTTGCCTCCCTGCCCCCTCCCAGGAACCAGCCCAGCCAGCACATGGGACCCCATTGCTCGCACTTCCCAACACCACCCTCTGGGTCATGGGATCTTTTATTCCTTCATTGTCCCAATCCATTCTTGCTGAGGATCCACTCTGTGTCAGATGCTATGCTCAGGGTGGTGACCGAGCTAGTGGCAACCAGCCAGGCAGAGCGCAGCCAGGGCCTCCAACAGTAACACAACCAGCACCCATGACAGCATGATTAGAACTGAAATGTGGACTGAGGCCTCTGGGGCCATACAGTAGAGGCCTCTGAGTAGCTGGGGAATCAGGGCAGGATTCTCTAAGGCAGTGACACAGGGGAGGCAGGGTGGAGAATAGCTAAAGAGGAGCAGGGGTAAGCTAGAAGAAGAAGGAAACCTTCCAGATATATATATATATAGAACATATATAAAGACCCTGATCTGTAAGCTGAGATATCAGTGTGGTCAGAGCCAGAAAGGCAGGTGCCTGGGTGAACGAGCGAGTGGGCCAGCAGGTCCTGAAGAGGAGAAAAAGACAGACAGATGGGCCTGAAGGCCTGTGACACAGCAGTGAGCAGCCTCTGCAGGGTTTCAGCAGGCTAACAAAATCAAGTTTATATTTAAAAGGCTTGCCCTACAGCCCCAGTGGCGCAGCGGTTTAGTGCTGCCTGCAGCCTGGGGTGTGATCCTGGAGACCCGGGATAGAGTCCCGCATCGGGCTTCCTGCATGGGGCCTGCTTCTCCCTCTGCCTGTGTCTCTGACTCTCTCGCTCTCTCTGAATGAATAAATAAATAAATCTTTAAAAAAAAAAAAAAAGGCTTGACCTAGGTGTCATGTGCTGGGTCAAATCAGGAGGCAGGACAGTTAGCAGAGAGAGCCTGAGGAGTAAGAAGTACAGGGGCCATGGAGTTGTCCCAGAGGTAGAAAGTCAGTTCAGTCCTGATAGCTGAGCAGTAGAACTTGCCAACAGAGTGCATGTAGGATACAGGAAAGGCTTGATCAAGGATGGCTACTGCAGCAGGGCCAAGCCTCTAGGTGGATAGTGAGACAAGCAGAATGGAGGTTGGGAAAGAGGCCTGGAAGAAAATCTGAAGTTCTGACTTAGATGCTTCCCCAGAAAATGCTACTCAATGAGGCCCCCACACATTTGACAGACTATGTCCTCTCACCAATGGCCCTCTTCTCATTTTCCAGGAACCGCTTCAGCTGGGAGACCAGCCTGTCACCCTTGTGGCCTCCAACGAACTCACAGTTAGCCCTGAGAGCCAGCAGGTAGAGGGCCAGCTGGCCCATGGAGGGCTTGGCCTGGTCGTCCCTTTTGTCATCGTTGACAGCAAGCCTAGGACTAAAGCCAGTTAACAATATTTCTGTAAGAAAATGCCACCCTGGTAAGCCTGGGTTGGGGCACCACCACCACCCTCAACATCATAAAGTGAAAAGAATCCTAACAATGAGAAACTTTGCTAGAACTACCAAAAGTAGACAGTCAGCTATGCACATTCTAAGGTACATGCCATACATATTTTGTAAAGATAAAAAAAGACAAGCCCCAAGGGCTCTCACATCCAAATGACCTGTGTTTGCCCCACCATATTGATCACACTTTGCCTACACAGTCTTCCCTTTCTTCCCTCTCCCTGCCCTGTGTCCACTTCTTGAGGGAATCCAAGCAGGAGATGCTCATGATCCTTCACCTTTCACTCAAACTCCTACACTGAACCTCAGAACAGACCTCCCCTTAATGCCCCCTGGAAAGGGAGCACAGAGTTAGATGCTGCTAAATGCTGCTTCTGGACTCACTATGAGAGGGATTGTAGTCATGGATTAGTGATGTCTGCCTCCAATCTAGTCAAGCCAACCCCATTCTACAGATGGAGAAAGTGTCAAAGGAGACAAAATTTGCCCAAAGTCTCCCAACAAAGCAGTGGCAGCCCAAATCAGAACACGTTTCCTGTCTCTTAGGAGGTGGAAAGGAGAAGAAAGTGAACAGGGATACCTCAGGAAGCTCTGCTGGTACTTGAGCTTGAGGATGTGCAGATAGAAGGCCTCCCTGGCCCCAGCCTGCAGGCTGGAGAGGCGTAGGCCCACGTAGATACTGGGGTTCAGGTGCTCCAGGGAGAGCCAGTCTATCCAGGGCAAGAGGCGCTGGCCCAGCGTCTCCACCAGCTTGCTATCCACCTCTGGTATTTCTTAGGAAAGAGAATAGGCCAAGTGAGGTTGCAGGGCCAGGCCACCAGCAAGGAACTGCTTTTACCTTACCAGAGCCTTCTCCAGGGAATAAACATTTCTACTCCATCCCCATCAAGCACACAACCTACTTGTATGGGAAAATATGGCAGTAATGAAAGGTGGTAAAGAGGGGAAGCAGATATCCCAAAACAGCAGTTGGAGTGAGCCAGGAAGAGGTGGGGGGCTGAAGGCAGAGGAAGCTGGTACCAGGCAACCACTCTGCCACCACGGGTAACAAGAGAGTGGAGGCCCAGCTGCGTTATGTGCCCCAGGCACTGCACCTGACCTCACCTGGTTCTCATGCTAGCCCTGTGGCATAGGAACTGCAACCATTGCTTTGCGCAAAGAGGAAACAGCCGTACAAAGTCGTGTTGTGTCTTATACAGGCTGCAGAGCCAAGGATGAACCTGCCTGCAAAGCCTCTGTTCTTTGGTGCTCTGCCAAATCCATTTACAAAAACCATAACCCACATGCAGAACATGTTACACACCCAGTTTTTTTTTTATTTTTTTAAGATTTATTTATTTATTTATTCATGATAGACACAGATTGAGAGAGAGGCAGAGACACAGGAGGAGGGAGAAGCGGGTTCCATGCCAGGAGCCCAACGTGGGACTCGATCCCGGGACTCCAGGATCGCACCCTGGGCCAAAGGCAGGCGCCAAACCGCTCAGCCACCCAGGGATCCCCTCACACCCAGTTTTAAAACACTTCAGGTGGGGCACCTGGATGGCTCAGTGGTTAAGCCATCTGCCTTTGGCTCAGGTCCTGATCCCAGGGTCCTGGGATGTCCTGCATCATGCTCCCCACAGGGAGCCTGCTTCTCCCTCTGCCTACGTCTCTGCCTCTCTCTCTACATCTCTCATGAATAAATAAAATCTTTTAAAAATAAAATAAAATAAATAAATAAATAAATAAATAAATAAATAAATAAATAAATAATAAATAAAAATAAAACACTTCAGGCTGGGGTGCCCAGGTGGCTCAGTCAGTTAAATGGCCAACCCTTGATTTCAGCTCAGGTCATGATCTCAGGATCATGGGATCAAGCCCCAGGTCATGGAGTCTGCTTGAGGGTTCTCTCTCCCTCTCCTTCTGCCCCTCCCCCCTAAAACAAGTTAATAAATCTTAAAACAAACAAACAAGGCCAAATAAACCATGTAGGCTGCCCATGGCTAACTGGGGCTGCCTGATGAGATTCCTCTGTGCAAAAAAAAAAAAAAGAGATTCCTCTGTGCAGATCTCAAAATAATGCTTTTCCTGCCACATCTTGTTAGGTGAAGAGGGCCTGAGATTGACGGGTGAATCTGTTAGAAAGCCATCATCATCTGCAACCATTTCTCTGTGTGCTTTGAGATTTGCCTGAAACTGTGTCATCAGAATGCTGAAATACTGGGGAAGTAGAAGCCTCAGAGGCATTTCCCAGCTCCAGCTGACCCTGCCTTCTTCCCTTAGGGGAGGAACCTGAGCTCAGTGGGTGGCCTTGGAGGCACTTTGGACTTTTCCCATTTACTGCCTCCCAGTTATTTGCAGGGCTCCAGCTGCTTCCACTGTGCTGAGTCCCAGGATGCTGGGCAAGCTGCCCCTCCTGAGAGGGGGACTGAGAAAAGGAACTACCACCAGAGCTCTTCACCTGCACAAGGACTGGGGTTTCTCTCATACAGGCCCATCTCTCTTGGTTTGGACCCCACCATCATTTTTTTTAAGTAATCTCTGCACCCAAAGTGGGGTTCAAATTCATGACCCTGATATCTAGAGTCACATGCTCTGTGGACTGAGCCAGCCAGGCACCCCAAGAGTCCCACCATCTCATGTCTGTTTTCCCAAAAGTCACAGGTATCTCTTACTACCTATGGAGGGCCTAGAAGGGGTGGGGGTTGGGCACAAGGGTTGCTTTTCTTTCCTCTTTCTCAGTGTCTTTCTGGGGCTGCCTCCCATTCCTGTAGGTATTTCCCCCCTCTCTGTCTGGATCTGTCTCAGTCTCTGTTTTTTTTTTTTTTTTCTTTTTAAGATTTTATTTATTTATTCATGAGAGGCACAGAGAGAGAGAGACAGAGACGCAGGCAGAGGGAGAAGCAGGCTCCATGCAGGGAACCCAGGTCTCCAGGATCAGGCCCTGGACTGAAGGCGGCACTAAACCGCTAAGCCACCCAGGCTGCCCCTGTCTCAGTCTCTACCTCTTTCAGCCTGTCTCTCTGGTCATATGTCCCCTTGTCCCTCTCTTTCCCTCTTCCTTTTCTTCAAACTGGTAGGGGAGCCTCACCCGGACTCCTGGCTCTGACCTCCAGCAGGTGAGTCAGCCTTGGGATTAGAAGTGATAAGAAGAGGAGCCAGAGCTATAAAGAGAGGCCAATAACCACAATTCAGCCTCCAGTCATAAAAATGGCCCAGGGCGAGCTCTCTCCATGGGGCCTCTTGCTCACAGGGCCATGCAGCTCTGCCAGCTCACAGGCCTGACATTCCAAAGCATAGGAGCCCACCCTGGGCAGCATTAGTGCAGCATCTTTGTCAATTTCACAACCTCATAGAGCTTTGAACTGGTAAAGCAGGTGCTGTGGGATCGTCTGCACCACACCAAGGAGGAAGGCAGGGAAACATTCTTAGCCCATTTTTCAGAAGAGAGAATGAGGTTCTGGGCAGCTAACTGGCTCACGAGTAGGCAGCTGCACCCCCAAACCTGGTCCAGGGCTTCTCTGTTGGGTCTGTGGGCCAACTACTGAATGGTTCGGATCCAGTGAGGGTGAGGACTGGGTTTCAGGTCTCTCCTAGGGACTGTCTGTACAGGAACTAAAAGCCAAGAGCTGAGGGGTCTGGTTGCATGTATGGAACAGTGGGTGGGGCTCCTGATGCCCAGGGAAGACTGTGGCCTGGAGTTCTGAGAACTGAGTCCAGCAAAGTCCTGGAAAGCCGAGTGCCTTAGCAGGTCGCCTGGCTCCTCCAACCCTTCACTGACTCATCTGTCACCTGAACCTGCCTCTTGGTTTCTCCAAAGATCACAAGAGATCCAGGGGGTGAAAACATATTATACAGTGTAAGGCTGCGGGCAGAACACAAGGAGGGAAGAAAGGTGGGTAGCCCCAGAGCACAGAGGCTTCCCTGCCTGCTTTCTGCTTTCTGCCTATCTCCAGTGCACAAAGAGCACCAGGTCTGTGTTCAGACTCCCAGACGGTCCCAAGAGGTCCCAAGAGGCCCCTGAGGGGGACATTGGGACACAGAGCCGAAGCAGCTAGGCTCCTCTGTGTACACTATAATACAAATTCCTTGCCATGACCTGCCACCTATGTTCTCTCAGACTCCTCATCTCCTGTAATGGAGCCGCATACTCACTTCCCTCTGCCTGGGATGTACCCCACTCCTTTTCTTGCCAGTTTCTTTGCCTCCTCTGGGTCTCAATCCCCCTATCACACCTGGCCCTTGGAAATCCTTCCTCAAATTCTCTGCCTAAATCAGTGGCCCCCAGCTCTCAACCTCCGTGTCTGGTTCACTTCCTTTGGCACTCACCATAGTCCCCAAACAGTAACGATTTGCCTCTTGACTTCTTCTGTCTGTTCCTTTTACTAGAACAATCTACTAGGACAGGGATGGTACCTGCCTTGTTCTTTCCCCAAGCCCCAATGCTATACCGGCACGAGAAGCCTCAGTCAATGTGTATTAAATTAGTAAATCCAGGGATGGAGTCCCTGGATGGAGCACCGCATTGAGCCCGAGCTCCCTGCTCACTAAGTCTGCTTCTCCTTCTGCCCCTCACCTCACTTGTACTCTCTCACTCTCAAATAAATAAACTCTCTAAAAATTTTTTAATGTATTTTCTTTTTTAAAAAATAAGATTTCATTTATTTATTTGAGATAGGGTCACAGGGCTTGATCCCAGGACCGTGGGATCCCGACCTGAGCGAAGGCAGACACTTAGCTAACTGAGTCACCCAGGTGCCCCAAATCTATTTTCTTTCTCTTGTGATTTTCTTTTTTTTTTTTTAAGATAGATGATTTATTTATTTATTTATTTATTTATTTATTTATTTATTTATTTATGATAGAGAGAGAGGCAGAGACACAGGAGGAGGGAGAAGCAGGCTCCACACTGGGAGCTCGACATGGGATTCAATCCGGGACTCCAGGATCGCGCCCTGGGCCAAAGGCAGGTGCCAAACTACTGAGCCACCCAGGGATCCCCCTTGTGATTTTCTTAACATTTTCTTTTTTCCAACTGACTTTATCCTAAGAATACAGTATATAATACATTTACAAAATATGTGTTAATTGACTGTTGATCTTATTAGTAAGGCTTTCAGTCAATGGTAGGCTATTAGTAGCTAAGTTTGGGGGAGTTGAGGGACAGCTGGGTGGTTCAGCGGTTGAGCATCTAGAGGGTGTGATCCCAGTCCTGGGATCTGGTCCTGCTTCTGGTTCCCTGCGAGGAGCCTGCTTCCTGCCTCTGCCTATGTCTCTGCCTGTCTCTCAGTGTCTCTCATGAATAAATAAATAAAATCTAAAAAGAAAAAAAATGTTTTGGGGGAGTTGAAAGTTATAGATAGATTTTTGGCTGCATGGAGGGTCAGCAGACCTAACCCATGTTGTTCGAGGGTCAACTGTAATTAATCTCAATACAGTGTGTCAAACATTGAAGTCCAGCTAAGTCCCAACTGCTGTGGAAGCCCAAAGGGGCAGTTATATCGGATCCTCCCACACATCCGAGCCTCAGTTTCTCCAGCTACTTCATGAGAGGTTCGGACAAAACAGCCCCCCTCCCCCCAAGGACCCAGGAGGAAAGAGGCACAGAATAGATTTGGTTACTCACCGCAGATATCAGCGAGAGTTCCCAGGCCCCCAAGCAGGAAGAGGAGGACCCCAAGGTGCCCCATGGCAGGAGCAGAGGGGTGAAGCACGACAGACTTCTAGGGCTGGTCTTGCAGAGGCTTTCCTAACCACAGCGGGTCACTGCTCTGAAAGAGGCAGCTTCCTGTCACTGATTAATCCCTCCACACCCCCAGCAGGATGCTGCTAAATCAGCAGAGAGAAAGGGGAAAAAGATCTGTAGCTGAGGTGAAAGGAAGGCCAAAGAACAGAGGAAGGAAGGGCTGAGCAATCTTCCTGGAGGTAGGGAGCTGGGGGAGGGGGAGGGCAAGTAGGAATGCTGTGAGACCTCTTGAGGGCAGCTACATTCTGTCCCCGCTGCCTGAAGAGCCCTGGGCAAGCACAGAAGACCTGACATCTGATCTGCCCAAGTCTGTCCAATTGTGCCTGTGTGGTATCCCCCTCACCGTCCCAGCAGTGGACAGGCAGGGCTGGGGTGCCTACCTGGTGCCCCCCACAGAAGGAGTCCCTGCAAGTACCCACCCTGGTCTGGGACAGGGAGCGGAACTGAGAGTCTACTAGTCACGTGAGCTACTGCTGGTGTCAGCTGTTCTCAGCCAGCCCGCCAGGAGTTGGGGGTGGGTGGGGCTGGACCCGGACCAGACAGGCCAGTTTCTCAACCAACCAGAAAGCGGGAGGCCTGGGAGACAAAACAAAACAAATAACGGGATTTAATCATTTGAGACAGGAGCCCCTGGGTAGCAGGGCTACTTGTTAGGACTAGGAAAGTAATCTTAAAAAAAAAATAAAAATTAAAAAAAATCTCTGTAAGTAGAAAAGGGAACAAAGGATTCCTCATCTGCCTAACCTCACAGGAAAATCAATGCCCAAGAGTTAAGCCTGGTGGTGCTGTGTACCTTGTCCAGGTCACCTAACCTCTCTGAGTTTGAAATAGTTTCTCCTGTGTGAGATAAGAGGGTTGGAGAAGATCATTCTAACTGAGCTCCCTTCCAGATCAACCTGTGAAAATGTTATCATCTTAAAACACCTCTAATCATTTCCTCTAATGAGATTTTTACTGCAGTCATATTATGGCTAATTGCCAGGGCTCCAGTATCAATCATACCTTAGGCTGAAGGCAGGCGCCCAACTGCTGAGCCACCCAGGCGTCCCTCATGAATACATTTTTTAAAAAATCTTATAAAAAAATAAATTTCTGGATTCAATATTACACACCTATCTTTGTAGTTTCCAAGGAAATAGGACTCTGGGTCCACTTTGCTATCCAGATCTGAAGTTGACCCCTCTAATGCAGTCCTGCAATACGTTGAGCCTATCAAAGCACTGTTTGGTTAACATTTCACCCAACCTCAGCTTTTAGCCAAATGCTTTAATAACCTTTCTGTTCGTGTGGTCAGACCTCTACAGTTGCTCTGCTCCACAGAGGACCCTACAGATTCAAGACAGTTCCAAGGATCTGTCTGAGAAGTTCTCTTGGGATTTGCCAGCAGGAATCCAGTGTTCCCTCCAGGGGTCCTGGTCAGGACAACAAACCCTTGAAGATAGAGGGAGGTTCAGGGGAAAGAAGGAAAGACTTTCAGACAGGATTATTCACGTTGTCTGCTGTATGCCAGCATTGCATGGATTAAGATAGTCTCATAGTCTTGTGTCATGCGCAAGACTCTTTTCTCTTACTAAGCTGGAATCCTGACCTTTAGAAATTAGAAACTTGCTAAGTGGACATTTAGCTTTTCCCTGTAGCATTCTTTCCTGGATTTTGATAGTCATTAATAAGAGCTAAAATGGAATGAGCTTAAACCATATGCCAGCCACTGTTCTAAGCATTTCACAAGCATCCTCGTTTGATCCTAATGAGAAACCTAGGAGTACGGTATTACAGTCCCATTTCTTGTAAGAAACAGGTTTGAAAAGCCATCTCCGTATGTGGCAGAAGGAAATGGTAGCTCTTTACGAATGTACTTCAAACCTAGGCCTCAAAGAATTCCAAAAGGCAGAGAGCTAAAACAATGTGAGGATAAACAAAACATGTATAGGATCAGGGCACCCAACTGGCTCAGTCAGTGGAACATGCAATTCTTGCCCTCGGGGTCATGAGGTCAAGCCCCATATTGAGTGTGGAGCCTACTTAAAGAAATATAGGATGTATATGCAGAAAACTCTAAAATTCTGATAAAAGAAATCAAGGAAAAACTAAATAAACAGAGGGATATTTTGTGTCCATAGACTGGAAGGCTCAATATTGTTAAGATGTCATGGTGATAACATGATCTATATATACCAATGACCCCAGTCAAAATCCCAGTAAGCTATTTTGTGGGTGTTGATAAATTGATTCTAAAGCTTGTATGGAGAGGCAAAAGACCTAGAGTAATCAACAAAATACTGAAAAAGAACAAAGTTGGAGGACTGACACTACCTAATTTCAAGATTTACATGAAGCTACAGTAATTAAGATGGTGTAGAACTGGTGAAAAAATCCACAGGTTGACAGATGGAACAGAAAAGAGACTCTAGAAATAGACCCACACAAAAACTGTCCATTGATATCTAAAGGAGCAAAGAAATTGACAATGGAGAAAGGATACTTATTCCAACAAATATGCTGGAACAATAAAATGTCCATATGCAAAAAAAATTTATTTAGACATATACCTTATACTTATCATGAAAAATTGAGAACTAAACATAAGATACAAGGCTATAAAACTTAAAGCTTCTAGAAGAAGTTATGACTTTTTGACACAATGTCAAAGTCATGGTCTGTGAAAGAAATAATTGATAATCTGAGCTTCATTAAAATTAAAAATTGCTCTGCTGAGGACACAATCAAGAGAATGATAAGACAAGCCACCGACTGGGAGAAAATATTTGCAAAACACAAGATAAAAACTGTTATCCTGGGGCACCTGAGTGGCTCAGTCGATTGAGCATCTGCCTTCAGTTCAGGTCATGATCCCAGGGTCCTGGGATCAAGCCCTGCATCAGGCTCCCTGCTCAGAGCCTGCTTCTCCCTCTCCATCTGCCTTGCCACTCTGCCTGCTTGTGCGCGCTCTCTCTCTCTCCAAATAAATAAATAAATAAATAAATAAATAAATAAATAACTTAAAAAACACACACACAACCCTGTTATCCAAAATATGCAAAGAATTCTTAAAACTCAGCAATAAGAAAACAAGCAACCCAATTAAAAAATGGGCAAAAGACCTGAATAGACACCTCATCAAAGATGATAATATAAATGAAAAATAAGCATATGAAAAGATACTCCACATCATATGTCATTAGGAAATTAAAACAATAATGATACCACTACAAACTTGTTAGAATAGTCAAAATCAGGGCACCTGGGTGACTCAGTTCGTTGGGTGTCCAGCTCTTGATCTCAGCTCAGGTCTTGATCTCAGGGTTGTAAATTCAAGCCATGCACTGGATCAACCCTGGGCTTGGAGCCTATTTTAAGAAATAAATAAACAGGGGATCCCTGGGTGGCGCAGCGGTTTGGCGCCTGCCTTTGGCCCAGGGCGCGATCCTGGAGACCCGGGATCGGGTCCCACATCGGGCTCCCGGTGCATGGAGCCTGCTTCTCCCTCTGCCTGTGTCTCTGCGCCTCTCTCTCTCTCTCTCTCTGTGACTATCATAAATAAACAAAAATTAAAAAAAAAAAGAAATAAATAAACAAACAAAATTTAAAAAAAATTTTAAAAAGGGTGCCTGGCTGGCTCGTTGGTTAAGCATCCAACTCCTGGTTTTGGCAAGATCATGATCTCAGGGTCCTAAAGTTGAGGCCTGCACTGGGATTCTCTTCTTCCCTTTCAATCTATCCCTCTCCTGACCACATGTGCAAGCTCTCTCTCAATAAAATAAATACAATATAAATAAATGGATAAATGAAAGAATGGTCAAAATTCAAAACACTGACACCACCAAATGCTGGTGAGTATGCAGGTGAACAGGAACTGCCATTCATTGTTGGTAGGAATGCAATATAGGACAGTCACTTGGGAAGACAGTTTGGCAGTTTCTTTCAAAGCAAAACATAGTCTTACTGTCAGATTCTGCGATCATACTCCTAGCTATTTACCCAACTGGAGATCCATACAAAAATCTGCATATAAAAGCATAACAACTTTATTCATAATTACCAAAACCTGGAAGCAACCAAGATATTATTTAATGAGTGAATGGAAAAACAAATTCTGAGATATATATAAAATATGATGTATATATAATGAAAATATGGTATAAACAAACAAAAAAGAAATGGGAAATCAAGCCACAAGGAGACATGAATAAAACTTAAATGCATATTGATGAGTGAAGAAAGAAGTGAGTCTGCTAAGTCTACTTACTATATGATTGCAATTATATGACATTCTGGAAAAGACAAAATGATAGGGATAGTAAGATCAGTAGTTGTCAGAGGTTGCAAGGAAGAAGGTTGGGTAAAGGGGTTGAATAGGTAGAGCAAAAATAGGGGATTAGGGGCACCTTCATCGCTCAGTCATTAAATATCTGCCTTCAGCTGAGGTCATGATCTCAGGGTCCTGGGGTCAATGCTCTCTGCCCACATCTCCCTCTCCCTCTCACTTTGTGCTTTCTCCCTCTCAAATAAATAAATAAAATATTTTTTGAAGATTTTATTTATGCATGAGACACACACACACAGAGAGGCAGAGACATAGGCAGAGGGAGAAGCAGACTCCTTGCAGTGAGCCTGATGCGGGACCCAATCCCAGGACCCCGGGATCACACCCTGAGCCAAAGGCAGATGCTCAACCACCAAGCTACCCAGGTGCCCCAATAAATAAAATCTTTTAAAAAAAAGAAAAGAAAAGGTTTTTTTAGAATGGTGAAACTATGCTGTATGATAGTAATATGGTGGATATATAATACTATGTATTTGTAGAGACTAATAGAACTTGACAGCACATAAAGTGAACTTAATGCATGCAAATTTAAAAAAATCATTGAGGAGATCAGGAGATCCCAGGATAGAATGCAGAACATGACAAGCAATCCAATCTGTATTACCAGTGTATAAAACAACAGAAGTAGTGGAAGATAGGATGCTGACCTAAGAAACTTTGAAAATGAGTGGGATCTGTAAGAATACTGGCAGAAAGATCTGCACATAAGCACTGTACTCTAAGCTGTATATCATAAAGGTATGAATGAATTCTGATACTACTAGACATGTGTACTGGAATTGGACAATTAAGTAAACAGATTGCAGATTATGAAGGCAGGTTTCTCACAGCTGAAGTGTGAATTTACAGATATGCAAGAGGAAGCTAGAATGATCTATCATTATCTATCTAATGATAATGGATTAGAGCTAGAGACATCTCTATTTCCTCATGTTTAGCTTAATGTAGACAAGGATAATGATATATAGAATATTTATAGATAAGTGTGTATACAATAGAGCAGTATTATGAAAATTAATAAATGGAAACCTTGTTTACAATGGCATCAGGAGGCCAGCAGGGGGAGCTCTCATAGACTACCACTTGTTCTCTGCAGACCTGGTAAGAGGAAGACTTTGTAGGTATACACATCAGCAGAATAAAGGAAGATTTTCTCCTTCCCTGGCAAACACCACCTAGCCATTAAGAAACAATCACAGCTCAGCCAATGAGAAACCACTATACTTAGAACT